GTTGATATTTTGACGTAAGGAAATCAGAATTTGCTATGAAATAATATCCAGAAACTCCACTTGTAATTTGAGGATTTTCGTGCCTTTAGTTTCCTTATTTTACACTTTCCTCTTGATGAAAGATAAAGAGGGTATAATTATTTAACCCAAAAAGAAGGGATTTAATTGGGCAATTGAGGTAACCTCATCTAACTTTGACTCAAAATTTAAAGCAATTAAACAACTTTTTTAGGAAGGTAAACGTTAATTTTGCCTAATTCAATTGTAATGCATCTTTTTCTCCAAAAATACAAAAAGTCGTCCCACTCCCCCTCTTCCTGCACCACCAGTCAAGGCATTCGCCTAAAAAGAAGCCGACTCCAAGCAGAGGATTCAGTAATTCTATCCAACTCAGAGGGCCAGATCGGTAATTTAACAATACCAGAAAAAGTATCGCCGTTTCAGTTTGGTGTAAACGCTTGAAAAATCCAGCCGTTGGCCCGTTGCCGATAGAAATTGAGATATCAGCTATGGTGTGCTGAAGAATCATAACGAGTGAGTTGAAAAAACAACCCCAGATTCTTCATTATTTTCTGAACAGCCCCTGTAGACCTTTTCCTCTCTGTTTCTCGTTCATTTCTTCTCTCCTTCACACTATCTCTATTTCTCTTACCTGGTAAGCCCCTCTTTCTCTCTGTATATCTCTCTCTCTCTCTGTGTCTCTCTCTATCCCTCCCTGTGTATCAGGCCATGTTTGGCGAGAAGGATCGCGCTAATGGTCTTCATGCCTGTGAGGATGAGGCCTCTCAGAGCAAGCTCACACGCCATATCTCTAAGCAAAACAAAGACAACGCAGAAGAGAAAATGGGTTTTACTGAGAAGGGTATAGGTTTTCTCAGAGAATCAGACATGGGTTCCGATGGGTTTCAATCAAAATCCTCAAAAACAGGAAACTTGGGTTCCCAGGAGCTGACTCTCAGCTATCTCTGCGATAGTTCCAAACTGGGTTTTCTAGAGAAAGAGTTTGCCGGGGCAAATTTGCTGACTTCCTTGGAGAAAGAGAGCTTTAAAGGTAAAGAAATTCTTGTCTCTGCCAATTCAAACCAAGATCACAAATGGGTAGAGAGAGATTTCCTTAATTTGAACGAGACTAGGCTGAATTGCTCAAAGCGAGAGCTTGTGGAGGAGACTGAAAGAGAGAGCAGGGACAAGAAGCCAAAGCTCGAGACTTTGAATCTCTCGCTAGCCTTACCTGAGGTCTCGCTCTCTCTCACTGCTTCAAACGCCTTACAAAATGGTGACCCTCCAGCTATGCCAAGGCCTAGCAGAAGTGTACAATCTTTGGCACCATCTACTAACAATACACAAACCACTTGTTCCAACGATTTCACAGCAGCTTCATTATCTTACTCTTATTCCCACCCCTTTTCCCACAACCCCAGTTGCTCGCTTACGCGAAATTCGACCGAGAATTACGAGTATTCGGTTGGGAAAGATGATCAAATTTGGAACTGTGGAGAAGGGACTAATGGGTCAGTTCATAGCCGGTTTAAGCCAATTGGAGATGGAGTCGCTTTGTCAAATCATGGTGGTGGGATTTACTCGTTGATGCAGAGTAATCGTAAGGATTCGGGTAATAACAGTCTTTATAGGACAACTAGCTCTGATAACCTTTCGTTTTTCCCATCAGAGTTGCCTGCTAAGCCTAAAATTGATACCCAGTCTGGGGATTCTAGAGGGAGAGGTTCTGAAAGTTTGAGGGGCTTGGAGGATGTAGATGGTGGTGGGAGAGCCAGGAAACTTTCTAGACCGGAGAGAATTCTCCGTGAAATTATTTCGGAGTCTATACCTGTCGTGGCTCAGATAATTCAGGAGCTTCCTGATGAAACACTCTTATCAACCAAGGAATACTTGAAGAATCTGATATCCATGCCCGAGAAGAAAGAGGAGTTAGTGAGCCTTCAAAACCGGCTCCATAGAAGGTCTGATCTTACAAAGGAGAATCTTGCTAAGTGCCAGAAAGACCAATTGGAGATTTTGGTTGCGGTGAAAATGGGTCTTGGGAACTTTGTATCAGGCAAAAACCGTCTTCCCACAACCGAGTTGGTGGAGATTTTCTCGTTTATGAGATGTAGGAATGTGAACTGCAAGAGTTTATTGCCTGTTGAGGATTGTGACTGCAAGGTTTGCTCTGCAAATAAGGGTTTTTGCAGTTCCTGTATGTGTCCTGTTTGTTTGAATTTTGACTGTGCTAGTAATACTTGTAGTTGGGTTGGCTGTGATGTTTGTGGGCATTGGTGCCATGCTGCTTGTGGTATTCAGAGGAATCTCATTAAGCCAGGTCCTAGCTTGAAGGGGCCCTCTGGGACAAGTGAGATGCAATTTCATTGCATTGGATGTGGTCATGCTTCAGAAATGTTTGGCTTCGTTAAGGATGTGTTTCTGTGCTGTGCAAAGGACTGGGGACTAGAGACCCTTATCAAGGAGCTTGACTGTGTTAGGAAGATTTTTAGGAGAAGCGATGATTTTAAAGGCCGCGAACTGCATATTAAGGCTGAGGAGATTATCTCCAAGCTTGGAAGCCAAATGATGTCTCCCTCAGATGCCTGCAATTTCATTATTCAGTTCTTTAACTGTAAGTCCCCAAGATTTTCGTCTTTCCTTTTCTATTTCAACTTTCATATTTATTCATTTACTTGCTATTTGTTGTTAGGCCTCATTGTAATTAGCTGAAATTTTAAAATGCATGTCTTGGACAGTGAGTATGGTTCTGTTATGGAGTATGAACTGCTTTGCTGCATAAATTTGGCTTATTCCTTGCATGTTAGGAATAATCTCTTATAACTACTGTAATGAAATTATAGGGAGGGCTAGGGTCAGACTCCACACAAATATAAGTGGAGGAGAAAAATGTGGTGAGGTGAAACAAAGAGTAAGTGGGAACAGTAAAGGGGACCTTGATTGGGTACTCTATGGTTCATATTCGATGGCTAGTGTAATTGGAACTATTTTGAAAAGAATACTCTCTGAATTGCTTAATTGAGGATTGTGACGGCTTCACCACACGTTAGCTACTCTTTTATTTTCTTTTTGGCCTATTTCCTTCTTTCCTTTTGGTTGCACTGTCAAATCATCTCCATACCGCCTGAGTTTAGATATTGTGAAAGGTTTTTCTTGTGAGAAGTTGATAATGTCCAAGAATTGTGTATATTTTTGTTCTAAATGTGTCCGTAACTTAAATGTAGGAGTTATTCAGTATCTATTCATGCCTAACTCTGGATTTTTTTTTCGTTGTTAAACAGATACAGATGGAGTGTCAGAATATCCTGCTTCTCACATATCCACGAAAGAGTTGGCAGTCACTCAAGCTAGCCTGAGAAAAGATTCGACTCCTTTTTCACAATCCGCTTGTCTACCTCCGAAATATGCTGCTTACAACACAAGTTCTAGTATACAATGTGATTTATTGTCAAATGATACCCGTCAGAATGACCTCAAATCATCCCTCATAAGCAATGAGGATGAGTTCCAGTTTGGAACATTACCAAAAATAGATGGGTTTGAGAGCTTGGAAAGCATAGTGAGGATAAAGGAAGCTGAAGCTAGAATGTTCCAGAGCAAGGCAGATGAAGCGCGGAGAGAGGCAGAAGGGTACCGTCAGATGATTCAAACAAAGACGGATAAGTTGGAGGAAGAGTATGCTAAAAAGTTTTCCAAACTGTGTCTGCAAGAGACAGAGGAAAGGCGAAGGAAGAAATTGGAGGAGCTGAAAATTTTGGAAAGTTCACATTGTGACTATTACAACATGAAAACTAGAATGCAAGCCGAGATTGCTGGCTTGTTGGAGAGAATGGAAGCAACAAAGCAGCAACGGGTGTAGTTTCTTTTGTTCTTTGATTTTTTTGTTTCTTTTGACAATGGTGCTAATTATATGTAGTTTATTAATGTTATTTCGATTTTTGGATTCTGCTTGTTATTTCTAATCAAAGTGAATGATTGTCTCATTTGCAAAATTCCAAATTTGTTATTTTATCCTCCATGTCCTTGGCAATCTAGAATTTAGAAAAAAAACCACCACCCTCGAGAGCTTCCAAGCATCTTAAATTTGACTCTATGGGCATCATTCTTTCTTTTTCAAAAGTCTTCTGCAGAAGCTGTTACTGTATTCAATTTAATGAGTATTTGTAGTTAGAGTTGGCATCATTCTTTCTGCATATGCTCTCTCCTCCCTGGGATGGAGGGTGCTTACTTTATGCAGCTGCTGCTTGGATAGCAATGTTTGAGTTTGAGCTAAGCAACGCCGCACGCTTGTTTTTCTCTATGCCATAATGACATAACATATATCCACATATCCTATCTTTTGCTACTATAAAATAAAACATCATATGATTATGCCTTTAGTATATAATATCTTGGCACCAGAAGATATGTCTTGCATTGCATTTGTTTGTTCTATATCTTAGGAGGTAATGCGCCACCAACTTCTATGTTGGCCAAGCAATAGATACTCATACTATCCCACAATTAGGATTTAGGACCATTGAGTTGAGTTGACGCTGATTGCGGCTAGGATCATTTTGGTGCCACTGCCCCGCCCTCTGCCCACCTTTGTAAAAATAAATCAAAATTGGTTTGCAAAAACGCCATTTGTGATTGCAGATTTGCAATAGAGTGCATACAATCCAATCCATTATCCACCCAAAAAGGACAGCCAGCATTATTATGCTAAAGTAAACTGATGCTGCGAGCTGAGATTAAATTATCATTAGATACCCACCTACGATCTACTTTCAATTATTTTGGTAAATATACTTTGACAGATAGAAAGCAAGAGAATAATATTCCATTGCTTTAATTTGTAGTATACATTTAGGCATCCCATCTGGCTCACTAACCAAATCTTTTATTAATGTAGAAATGAAGTAATTAATTAACAAATAAATCAAAAGGAATATATAGGTAGAGTGCATGCTATTTTAACCGACAAACCAAAACCATGAAATATGACAAGCTCTAGCTAATTAATTTTTAAGTCGAGGGAGGAGGACAGTGAGGCTGACGCTGGCTGCAAATAGAAAGATCAAAAGCCCAGTGAAGTTGATTATAAGTGTTTCTTGGGTGCGCCCTATGCTTAAGAAAAGGAACCTCTCCAGCAACCCTGCCTCGGCAGTGCATACTGCTAGCAGAAAGATGACCGTGCCCACGAAAGTGTGCCATGGCACAAGATTTCCCCTTGCTGACGATTCTGCACCCGGAAACACATAGGCAAAGAAAGCAAACAACCACTACAACAACAAAATAATAATTAATTGGCTAATAATATTTGTTGTATAGGCAAGGCATCGACAGTGGTAAAAATAAAATACCTGAAGACCAAATAAAGAGATGGTGATTATGCCGAGCCAGGAATGTAAGGTGAGCAAATTTGGAATTCCCGATTCATGATTAAACTTGAAAGCTGCATAAATCCCCAAGATTATAGCCACCAGAGCTAGAAAATGCAATATCAGGTGCACCATTTTCTGTGTGTTCCTTTTCCCTGGGACTGTCTTGTATGCCATGATAGCTGCACTAATAATTGGCACCTAATCAGTCCTTAATTCAAATTAATTAATGCTGCTAACTAACAAGATGGAATCTTTTAAGAGGCACATATATAGATTATATAGAGGACCTCCTGATCAGTTCCATTACCTTCTCCTCCAATCAAAATAAACCCAATTACCATTAGAAGCGTATGAACCTGTAAAAATCAGAAAATATGAATATGATCACATAAACTTAACATATGATGAGCATGCAAGATTTTGCTTAAGTGAACAACGTACGTTTAAAATTTTCTCTGTGATGAAGGAGTTGAGGGCAAGGCCATGGCGGAAGTGTAGGAGCCAAATAAGCACAAGGGTTGTTATGGCTATAGCTAACAAATGGGCAAATATTGTAACTGGGGTTGCTGATACCTGGTAGCTACGGCTTTTCGGTGCCATTATAATTGAGCCTCTGTGAAGGTGGTTGTGTGTTTGAAGCAAAAGAAGGGACGGGGCTACAACCTTAATTAGAGTATTATGGAATGACCGGTTAGTACTATTTAACAACACGCGAAGAGAGCCGGTGTTGGCAAAGGACGCAAATTTGATAAGATCAATGTACAAAATTGAAGCTTTGCCGACAGTAAACAATGTTTAAGGTTAAAAAGAGAAGCCTTTTTGTTTGAACGAGAAGGATGCCGCCAAATATATGGAATATGGGAAATCGTCTAGCCGGCAAAACCTAAGGTGGCAAGCCCAAAGGCATGGAGAGGTTTGCCACGTACGGCTAAGTAAAGCCGTGAATCACAATCATGAAGCACAGAAAATACAAGTTCCATTGAAAATTGAAAGCAACTTTGAATCTTTTTTGTCCTTCCTCTATTTAGATCATGAAAGTTGCTTCAATCATGTGACCGCAAGTTTTTCCAGCTATAGGGTTTGCTGATTATAGCTTGCTATGACACAATTAAATTGAATCACGTTTTCAGACCCAAAAAAAAAAAAATTGAATCACGTTTCGTGTCTGTGTTTCAATTTTCACCACATGCAAAATAGGAGCAAGGTAAGGTTAACATCCACGATTAAAACAGAGCCGTAATTAGTGCCATTCCTCTGCACTCTTAATAAATAATTAGCTGATTCATTAAGAGAAAAATCAGTGAGTTGAATTAAGTTAATATAAAACAAAAAAAGAGAGTTATGATGCATATATACATGTTGCTTGGGAGAGTGCTTTTTCCCTTTTTCTTTTAGTGTCTGTCTTTTGGTTCTTTTAACAAGCTAGCATACTTTATACAAATAAAGTATGGTATTTATTATGGGACGGATACAAGCTCAACCAAGGAATAAAAAATAATTGAATTCATAAATCTATATCCATATATATGAACCCTCATGTCGATCCGCTCAAATCATTCACACCAAAAGAAAAAAGAGATACATAATTAAGCACACAACACACCCAACCAATTAATGTGTGCAATCCAATAATCCATCTGTAAAGGCTCGAAAATGAAGAAATAATTAGGAATTAATCACACATAACGGGCAAGAGCAACAGAAAGATCAACGAAGATGCCGAAGAGGAGGATTGATAGTCCAGTGAAGTTGATCAGATTCAGTTCTCTGTGAGACAGAGTATGCTCAACCCCGAGGAATGTGGACTTTTGTGTCAAGCCAGTTAGAGCAGCACATATTGACAAGTACAGCAGCGCCCTCCCCCCACTCATATGCCATGGAACAATTCTGATCCTCGTCCGTTCCGACGCTTTTGGAAACAAGAAAGTAGCAAATCCAATCACCCACTGCCAATCAATCAAGTTCAAATTTATTAATAATATGTGTAATTTATGATAATGATATATAAAATATATGTACGTACTCACCTGCAAACAGTACAAGATAAAGGTGGACAAGCCAATCCACGAATGGAGGGAATTCATGTCCCCTATGTTGTTCATGTCATGGTATTTGAAAACAGCGCATATCCCGACGATACCGGAACACAGAGCTATCAGGTGGAACAAGGCATGAACGTACTTCTGCACCTTGTGTGCCGACAATACTGTCTTGTATGCCATCATCGCTGAACATATACCAACTCATATTAATATTAATCGAGATTAATTATATCCTATGCATGTAACATGTGTTAAATTAGCCTAATTACCTTCACCAGCAAAGAAAATATACCCAAAGAACATGAGAAACGGATGAACCTGCCAATGCCAAGTTAAAACGAAGGAAGTTAAGGACTTGAGTTTTACTAAAGCTAGCTCTAAGCTGTAAGTGTAGCACAATAACCCTCCATTAAGTAAGTAATTAAATAGTGGTTATATATGAAGGTTAAATTAATAAATCATTACTTACATTGAAAACCCGATCTGAATTGTCTGAATCATAGTCCAAACCGCCACGGTAATGCAGCAACCAAACAAGCATGAGTATGATGGCTAAGAAGCCAAACAAGTGTGCTCCCACAGTCAATCCAGAGGCTGACCGTTGGTACCTGTAGATTACAGTAGTAGTTTGCATTGCAAATTGCAATTAAGTTTATTAATTAATTAATAGGGAGATTAGAAGGGCGATTGATTGATGGGTTAATCTTGAATGTTTGGTTGGTTTTGATTTGGCAGTGTTGTGTTGTGCTCAATCAGTTCAGTTGTTATATATAGATAGAAATCTCTTTTGAAAATAGTTTCTTAAACAATTACCTTCTTCTTGGGATTGCTTGCTCTGATGGTTTTGGAATTTTCTGACGAAACTTTGAACTTTAGCAAAGCATCAGAAGGACAAAATAAAACCAGCTCTGATTGTACTAAGGTATTTATTCTGTCCTAACAGTTAAACAAACAATTACAAGAGAAAGAAGAAAACAGACAAGGCCTGGCCCTTGCTTGCTAAACTGGATCAGCTTTTTTACTCAATTACGCACTTAGGCCAAGATATCAATTGGGTCAGCCTGGCCCATCTTTTAAAACTGAATTAGGCCTATATATATATATATATGCAAGAGATAGTCACTTGAAGGCCCAGCCCAACCTCTGAGTTATCAATCTAAACTCCATCAAATTGAATTACAGAATACAGGGCCATACTTACTGCTATGCTATGGCACAACAGAGAGGCTAGAATTATGAATGATGAGGGGCTCCTCAATAGCCGTTTAATTCAATGCAAAGTTATTATTAGACTGTTGGATTGTAATCCTTATTTATATAAGAGCATCTCCAACCGATGTGTCAAAAGTGTCACATAGACATTTAACGGTTAGAAATAACATTTCACATCACTCCAACCGATGTGTCAAAGCTGATGTGGAATGAAGGCTGTAGGTTGAGATGTTATTTTTGACATCCCAAAAGCAAGATGTCAAATGAATATTTTATTATTTTTAAAGATAGTTAGTTGTTACTTTCATTTATATATTTTTTTTCTTCTTTATCTTAAATGATTTGAGTGTTACAATAATTATTTATTTGACATATCGGATGGAGTGTAAAACTGTATAAATGTCAAATTGCCACATAAGCCATCAAATTTAAATTTGATGTTTGGTATTTGACATCTCCCTTGGAGATGCTCTAAGATCCCATGGGAAAAAGGTGCAAAAAGTTTTAACCAAAACAAGCCTGATAAAATTGGCCACACAAAAAAAAGAGGGTGTGGAGACATTTCCACAATTTGCCTTGGACCCTGGTACAAAAGGGAAGACTAGTGATTATGTATGTTCATGAGCTTGCATGCACTTGGTTAGACATTTAGGAGGACCACGCTTGGAACTGATTTACTTTTACAAACCCCAACTTGCTATCTAGCCCCTCCCTCGTCCACCTCCACTAATAATTATGATGAAAAACCAAAAACTCGCATATACAATATGGAGGAAATAATTGAATTTCAGAAACGGGAAAGAAGAAAAAAAAAAGGAGAACGGATTTGCTATCATTGATGCAAGCATTTTTCTGCCAATTAAATGTTTTAGATTTGTTTCGTAATCATGAGTCGTGACCTTTTTAACAATAAAAATATTTATGTTTATATATCTGTTGTGGGATTAGTATAGAAATTATAATGATCACACAGTTAGTGGTTGTCAGATAAGCATTCTTTTCCGAGCTTGCTTTCTCAGCATAACTACTTGATGGAGACTTCTTGTGCATCCTTCCATCACCTTGGCCTTTCATCTCACTTTTTCTTTGACGTTTTTATTTCGTTCCCATCACCTTTTTAGTTTTTTCCTCCTTGAAATATGGTTGCTTAGTGAGAATAATTAGTATTCTAAGAAGCCAATTAGTTTACTTACTTTGGGCAGATTAAGGAAGGTGCTGCACAAGCTTGTTTTGCACGTAAACGTATTCATATCATATTGAGTCTTTTATTGCTTGGATTCTAATCTAGGGTTATTTCAAATTTCCAATGCACGAGATTCTTCTAGTATATTTTCTTCTAATATCTTTCAATTATTTGGGACCCTCCGGTGGCCCACTCTTGACGTGCTCTATATAAACGTTGATATATATAAATGTAGACCTTGTATATATGATAAGACGACAATAACACATCAGTGAGTGGCGTGTATTTTTGTTTGCATGTCTTTGTATATGAATACATCGACTACTTGACATGTTTGGCCATGCTAAAGTTGAGTAGGGGTACGTGGATGATATTGATCTCATTTCTAAATATTCCGTCTTACAGTTGTCCAAGAAAATGACTTGCTAATCAAGATATATCAAGTAAATTATAACTCAATTAGTCAAAATGCTATCTACTAATTGACACACACTAATAGATATTATTTAGTCAACATCAGACCTTATTTGACTGATTCTTTGAGTTCAAGTGACAACAAGGGAGGAACCTGCAGCTAAAAACCATGGCCACGTACAGAAAAAAGGTTCAAACTACCATATAGCATATATACATAGCATCTAGGGTGTAAGTTACAGAAAGATGGATTGGCATCATTAAGCAAAGCAGCAAAAGGATGCTACATGGAGTTTGATCGATCTTGCTAATTAAGAGACATTGGGTGGGGTTCCATTCCATCTGTGACATGAACTTGAAGGAACTGTATTGCGTCATCAATCAAAAACGACGTTAATTATGTTTTCACCGCCCACAACAACAACAACAACAACAACAAAAAACATATTAAAAAAAAGTGGTGCTGATTCTGACTTTGAAAAACTCCAGAGGCTCAATCATAAGATAGTTGTGTGAATAACACATGAAAAGATGTTACAACAAGAAGACGCAAATTTTATGAAATGATATATAGAAAAGCGAAGGATAGGATAGTGGCGAATGTGATTCAAACGGGGCTAAATTGCTAAAATCCTGAGAGGAGATGAGACCCATCAAATCACCAACTCCCAAACCCCGCCACTTCCCAAAAAAACCCCAACTGCACTCATGGTTTTGGGTTGGCCATCAATCACCCTTTAGTTTACCACTAATTTGCGTGTGGAGACCACCAATTTACCATCAATCACCCACGTTATTTA